AAAGCAAAATCTAAACTAAACTTACAATATTTAGCACTTAAAAATAATGAATATAAAATAATATACGTAGCAGCTGTTTTTACGCTGCTCTCCAATAATGTAAACAAGGCCCGCGTTCGCCGGTGTACGGTTGCCAAGTTCCAATTACTAACATACTTGTAAATAAATATGTTTTATTTGATTGATTTGATTTAAACATTGATCGTAATATACGTTTAAAGTGTGTCTGTTCTGCTCAGTAAGGAATAATGGCTAGTTAACCAAGTTTCATTCAAAGGATTTCAGGACTGAATCCCTAGGATATATTCAGGACGTCTGTAGTTGCCTTTTTTGTATGGCTAAGCGGTCGTGATCGGCACTCGATTAATTATACTTATACTAGCCGACAATCGACCGGGTAAACATAGGTGAGAATACCTGAGTTTGCCAGGCGGATATGCCCGGTCTAATATTGAGAGGTCCTTGCATTTTGCACGTTCTCTTAAAATACTGTACCTGTCACAAAAGAAATTCTAACATTGCTTGATGGTTTGCAAATTGTAAAATTTTAGCTTGTTTTAAGGCAAATAATAGAAGGTTTATAAGAAAAAATTGAACCTACACCTCGCCAAAGTTTTTTGTTTTGAATGCGTTCCACCAACTTCAAATACCGACAGACAGCTGTTTCGACCTATATTGGGTCTCATCAGTGTCGGGCAACTTGGTGTAGTGGAACACAATCAAAACAAAGGACTCCCTGAGTTATATGCTCGGTTGTTAAGTCAACAGAGGCGAGATGTAAGAACATCAGGTGATCCACACCGTCAAACGACGTGGCCTTTGCCGTAATCGGTACATACTATGCAACCGGGACTGCACACAGCAATTGTATCACAGATACTAATATGGCCTAAAGGAATCTAGAATTAACCCAACCGGGCTAATCTAACTAATGCTTATGAGTTGTAAGTAAAATAAAAACTACTGTTTTTAGAGTTTTAAAAGTTTATTTTAAATTAACAATTGTTTCCCTATCCCAGTAGCTTTTTCACAATACATTAAAACTTAATAAAAACCACTACCTAATTTTCGACCTTTTTCTTCATGTTATTGACGGCCAAGTGTAATGTTTTGACTAATAAAAAGCCGTTCGTAAAGTATCTTAAGTTAACTAATTAGAAAAAAGTATTTAAAATACTTCCAAGTATTTAAGATACTTTTCTAGTATTTAAGATACTTTTTAAAAATACAAAACAAATACAAATACTTTTAGTATGTATCTAAAATATTAAGTATTAATACCAACATTTAAAAGTATTTAAGATAAAGTATCTTAAGATATTTTAAGTATGTAAGATAATAATTGTATATTTTATCTTAGATAATTCCCAGCTCTGCCGCAGGCGTTTTCCGTCTATGGCCACAACAGTTTTTTATAATTATTTTGATTTCTGCCTAGACAGTGTCTTGTTTATGGATTTTTGTAGGAACTCGTCTATGGATTTGTGTCGAGCACGGCAAATTGCGTAACGCGCATGACAACAAATAGTTGCAGCTCATGCTGTAGACGCTTGTAAAAAACAAATATCAAACGCGTCAGGGTGGCACAACTAAAATATTGGGCGCAAGCCAATCGCTGACGACGAAACCACATACTACAAGCCACATTTAGACTCGACCTCATTGACAAACAAATCGGTAGACCGTGCAACACGTTCAACGGCACCCTCTAACAGACGATCTGCTTCTCACAAATCGACCGAGATCGATGGGAACACATTAGGACCCAGAAAAACCTAATGCAGATAACGATTGAAACACTGTACCAACTTCCGGAATCCGACTCAGACAAAGACACGGACGAACAGGAAATATTACAAAACCAGTAAAGATATGTCCCTGCAACGTACTAATCAACCAAACCCATTCATAAACGCCAATTAAATGGGAGATATTACTAAATCCCAGGTTAAGGGGGAATCCGGATTGTACCTAGTTTTGGGTCAGTTCAATGTCCCCCAAAAACCAAAATGCGTATGGTCCGGCCCGGCGACAAAATTCCGGGAAGGGTCTTAACCATCGATACTGACCTTCTAAGAGAAATTACCAGCCAGGGTGAACATTCGGATCCAACTGAAAGTTGGTAAATATAACTATGGAAGATCAGTGTAAGGCAATGCCGATGGGGCCAGCCATCCGTTCTTATACTCATATTCATACTTAAATAAATAATAAAAAAAAATTAATAAGAACGCTAATGCTTCTCAGTTTGGATAGCGCCATAATTTTCAATATGATTTTGGATGATATTGTCAATACTTTTGCAAATAAGAAATCATCAGCAAAGTTTGATTTATATCAAAAAAAAGTTTAAGGGGCCTCTACCAAATTAAGCCCCAGAGAATTATAAATACGGCCCAGATTCAAGGTACGGCACCCAATGTCGGAGAAGACAAATGTCAAATAAAATATTACGGTTGGATTTATATACGTCACAAGTTGTTACTTATGCAGTATATTATTTTCTGATACAGATAACTGTCTAAATTGGAATAGTTCATTTAACTATATTAATTTATAGTTATCGTATTAAAAGTATTAATACTTTGCGACAAACTCGCTAGATATATATATTAATTAAATATTATGCAAGCATTTCTCTTATCACCGCTTTTGTTTAATTTCGTTCAGGATCTCATGCCAGCATCGACAGACGCGTTTCGTTCTGTGGAACTCATCAGTGCCGAGTTGCTATAGGCTTGAGACCCAAACGAAAACTTTAATTCCTTTCCTTATATTGGAAAGGAATAGTTCAAAAGCGGTGAGAAGAGAATTTGCCTGCACAATGGTGCCATCTATCGTTTTTCAACGCGGTCTTCTATATGTCATGACATTATCTGTACGGGACATATAGCGTGCTTTACGCCATCTATGACCTGAAAGATGTATTACCCTCCCGGCTAGGTAATTTCTTATAGTTATCGTATTAAAAGTATTAATACTTTGCAACAAACTCGCTAGATATATATATTAATTAAATATTCTGCAAGCATTTCTCTTATCACCGCTTTTGTTTAATTTCGTTCAGGATCTCATGCCAGCATCGACAGACGCGTTTCGTTCTGTGTAACTCATCAGTGCCGAGTTGCTATAGGCTTGAGACCCAAACGAAAACTTTAATTCCTTTCCTTATATTGGAACTATTCCTTTCCAATATAGAGCTTATATACTCTTAATGTAAGTCAACAGAGGCGAGATTTAAGAACATCACGTGATCCACACCGCCTTTGCCGCGATCGGTACATACTATGCAACCAGAAATGCATGTTCTATCTATAATCTACACAGAAAAAAAGGAATAGTTAATTTAACTATAATAATTTATTAAAAATTTATTTAAATCAACTTGTGTAAACAAAGATTAGTTTGACGGTACTAAACCAGATATATATATTTTTTTTAATTGGTTAAATTAACCCAGAAAACTTTAGTGAAACCAACCCGCTGTATGGTTCAGTTTACTAAGTATGTTTTTTGTAAAATAAGAGTAACTTCCACCTTAAGCACTATGATAAAACGATTAAAACAATTTACCGTGCATTCCTGTTTTGCATAGTGTGTACCGATCGCAGCAAAGGCGGTGTGGATCACGTGATGTTCTTAAATCTCGCCTCTGTTGACTTACATGAAGAGTATATAAGCTCAGGTAGTCCTTTGCTTTGATGTGACACTACAAGTTGTTCGATACTAAAGAGACCTTAAATAGGTGGAAACAGCTAGCTGTCAATACTTGAAATATTTTAAGTTGGTGGAACGCACTAAAAACGTTATCTCTAGCGAGTTGAAGGTTCAATTTTCTGGAATAATACCACTGCTAATATACTAGTAATGCATCAAGGAACTTCCTTTTTCCTTTTTTTTCCTTTTTTCTGTGTAGCATGATTTAATTTGACCAAAAACACATAATATTTAACACTGAAAAGAAGTTCAATTTACACCAGGTAAAATTTATTTTAATACTGTGTGAAAGTTAAATTTACACTATTTTAGTATTTGAATTTACACCGGACCAACGAACCATATTTAACACCATTTTGGATGGTATCGATATAGACCATGTCTGGTGTTAATTTGGTGTTAAAATGGTCATGAAATTTTGAACAGTGTACGGGTTAAAAAAGCAAAATATAGAAAAAAAAGGCATAGACAAAAATTTATTAAAAAGACCAAGGGATCTAATTGTATTATTAAATGTAATTAGAGGCGTACATAATAATAGTTTTATTAGGTTTAAGACTGCTAAAAGTGTAAGATTATATAGGGGACCAAATACTTTTATACCTGTTGGAATTTTGTAGCTTTTAAAATTTTATATAAACTGACCATTCACGTTTAAATAAATTGGTCCAGTGTAGGATGGAAAATCTACAACATTTTAACCTTTTCGTTGTTGGTAACAAATTAAAGTTATTTATAGATATGTTCGTTATAAGCGAAATTTATTTGATATTAAATGATTGTAATTTAGTTACTTTTTTGTTAATGCATTTTTGCGTAATTAAAGAAAAACACGCGAATGTACGATGCGTGATCGACGCTCTTGCGAAACAGAGCTCGCGACTTTGAGCGTAGATTGTCCAGTCCCACACTAGACCAATTTATGGGACATTTTTAGAGCTACACGATTTTAAGAGAGAATTAAAAAAACCTTGGTAAGGTACAAAACTAATTTACAAAAAAGGTGTTGCGTTTTTTTCATATAATTATGCATTGGTGAGAAAAATAAGTTTTATAAAAATGTAGCTCTTAAAATTTACAGTATTTTAAATGCCTGTTTACCTCTGTGATATAAACGGCGCGATCAATCCCAAAACCAAAATAGCCGATGCCTGATCAGGTAAAAATAAACACCCGATATAATATTTTTAAAAATATATCTTAAATAATATACATAAATGCATACCAAATTAATTTTTTTATTTATAATTTTAAATAAATAATCAAAATAAAATATTTTGCAGATACTTTAAAACGGAAACAAGAATTAAATTATTTAAGAGATGAACTTAAGGGCCTTAATATAAAAGTTACAACAATAAATGTAAGTTATTTGTATTAAATTAAAATATCAATTTAATTTTAAATATACCTACTAAGGCTGTCAATTCCTGAAGTAATAAACGGTTAACCGGTTTCGGTTTTAACCGGATTTTTTAAATTATTATAACCGGTTCGGGTATCCGGTATCCGGTTAATAGGGCCTGTTAACCAGTCCGATCTGACTAAACCGAGCCGGTCGAGCCGGACCGGTTAGACCGGATCGGCGGTTTAACTGTAACAGTGATCAGTTAAACCCGTCACCGGTTCATCCATAACTGGTTTAACTGTAATCGTCAGCGGTTTAATCGTAGCTTATTCTCACCTTTCTTTACCCGTGACAACCAGGCAGTTCATGCTTGAATTTTTAAAATAGATACTTACTCAATAAAAATGAAATTAGAATAATAAAAATACCACAAATGTTACTTTTGTTAAAATGTATTTAAAATAAAAAAGGACCTAATTACTTACTTCCCACTACAGTAGAGATGGGACATCGATCAACAAACATTGATGTCCGTCATCGATGTTAACATCGATGTTTGAAAGATGTTAGCTACCAAACATCGAAGTTTATCAACATCAATGTTGTTTAAGCAAATGAAAATTAACAAAAAGTTAATATTTGTAAACATAAGCCTTTCTTCATAAAAAAAAATTCATAATTATATCACCATGGTGCACCAGTTGAATTTTCTTATTGAAGTTTAGTAATTAAACACTAGATGGTACTCGAATATCCGTCCCTCACATACTTCCACAAGTATGTACCATCGCTTTTCACGTAAATTCGATTTGATATTTTTCTTGTAACATCGATATTTTATTGACAATTACATATTGCAAAGATCGATGTAAAAACATCGAACATCGATAAAACTAAACTAAAAACTAAAAAACATAAACATTATTCAAGTATAAAAAACATTTCAAAATAAATTGTAGTTAAGTGACAAAACACAACAAAACTCCATATTTTTTTATTATTGAGTTTTGATGTAAAATAAGCAATTTATCACCATTTTCCGGCAGCAAGCAGTTTCTTTTCTCCTAAACTATAGATTTTCTTATTCTTTTTTAATGTTTATATATATATTTTTTAATAAAAATACTTTTGTTTTACTAACTTTTAAATGTTTAAGTTTTATAAACATCATGATGTGAAATATCGAAGTGAAAAAATCAATATTGATAAACATTGCAATGGTTATCAATATTGATTTTTTCACTTCGATATTTTAAGGACATCGATATTGTGTTTGATGTCAATAATATTGACTCAATATCATCGATATTGTGTTTGATGTCAATATCGATGTTTTAAGAAATTTGCGCATCCCTTCTAAGAGCTCAAACTATGACTCGTTTGTTTATGTTCACGGTCGCGCTTAAACCGGTTTTAGTTACGGTTAAACCAGTAACTGTCAAACCGGTGACAGCCTTAATCGGTCACGATTACGGTTAAACCGGTTACGTTCTTTATCGGTTTTGGTCCAACGAAACTGGTTAACCGGTTGACAGTCACGGTTACCAGCCTTAATACCTACCTACTTTAAGAATGGAATCCTCAGTGGTCACTCTACTAGTTTAAATGGATCTACCATTGGAACCGGTATAGCCTTTGAAATTTTAAATATACTACAAAAGAAATTTAAATTTGCCTATAGCTTAACTATTCCAAAGAATAATGTATTTGGATCCAGAAATGATGGGGTTTTCGACCTACTAAGAAAAAAGGTAAGTACATTAAGTATAGGGAAATATATATATATATATATATATATATATATATATATATACATTTTCTTTTGAAAGAAAAGCACATAAAAATACTGGCTAATTTTTTTAAACCCTAGCGGATCTGGCAAATGCAAATTTAACATTGAGTTGTGCACAAAGCAAACCCAAAATCAACTAAAAAATTGCAGGTTTTGTGTCATCTATAGCGTTTTATTTGCTTTTATTTGGCGTTGACTTTTATGATAGTAGGTATGGATTGGAGTTTAGTTTGCGTTAGGTTTTAAAATTAGGCGCAAATATAACATAATAGATTTGCGTTTACTTTTTATAATTAAATGCAAATATTTTATCCTTTCTTATTGTTTTTGTAAAATATGGCCAAATTGTTGAAATATTTTATGGGGTAAATCGAACGCAAATTCAAATTAAATATGTGCTCTTTTATCGACTTGGCATTCATTTTGCGTTTAATTTCGAAATGTAAACGCAAAAACAAATAAATATTTTTGGGGATGGGTTTTATGAAAATTCTAGTTTTGGGTACAAAGAATAATTTATTTATATTATAATATAGGTACATGCGTACCTAGTAAATTATAACAATACAAATATAGGGCAACACCTGCCTAACTGAAAATTGACATCATGTATTTTTTGTTCTTGTTTCCAAAACATTACATTATTTCGAGTATAAATTTAACGTTAATATAAATGTTAAATCGTAGCAATCACCTTGATTAGTTATATGATTAAATTTACTTGTCGCTTACCCAGAATTTGGTAACACAAAACTAACTTAATACGAGCAATCCAACATAAACAGGCCCCGCCGTATAACTTGGCGAGCCTCGACGCATGTTGATACTTGAATACTGCCTGCTTCGAAGATTAAGATTAAACTTTGAAGAGTGAAATAAACATTTCGATAAAATCTTATTTTTTGTATATAATCAATCCTCATGGATTTAATGTTATTTTTTTAATGAGTAATTGCCTATTGTCTTGACATTTTCTAAAACCAAATCCCATGTTGTGTAATATTTTTCTTAGAGAAATGTTAGATCCATTCCAGCCAATGTCCTCTCTATCTTTTCCCTTAGTTTTTTTAATGTTACCCGATATATGTTGGTAATTACATTATGTAATAATTATATATAATATTGCGAATTTCGTTTACTTCATATAGCGGAATGGCAGTGACTGATGAAAGTCTTCGACGATTCTTGCCAGGACTACTGAAAATTGCTTTGGGACTTGTTGGTTGAGTATCAACGGTTCTTCCTTCTATACCTAACTATTCTTTTAATTGTTCGCACTGATACACTAGTAGCACAACTAACTTTTGATTTCACAGATTCTCTTCCTCAGTTTTATTATTTTTAAAATAGTTGATGACATAACATATGGGTATTTTTCGTTTCCGCCATTACTTCTTCACTTGACAATATTGTTTTTTAGGAGATTATTTTTGGTAATATTTAATTTTGGTTATATATATATATATAAACGTATATATACGTTTTTAGATATATTTATATAAATAAGGTACCTTTTTGCGTAGTTAAAATAGATTTGGACGAAATATGTGGCAACAAATGAATGTATGATAAAGTTGGAATTTTATTAGGTTTAAACCTACAATTGTGTTGGGTTTGTGTTTACAAAATAAATGTCAACGCAAAGTAGTTCCCATTTTATAAATATAACCCAACAATTTGTCTTTGTACAGTTGAGTTTTCGGTTGAAAACTAGCGTTAAATTTGTGTTGATTGTGAAGCATGTTTTAGTTCAAACCAATGAAAATAATTTGAATCGGCTTAGCGTTTAAATTAACTGCTAAAAGTTAAAAGTAACGCTAAATTAAAAACTTCCATTGATATTTATAGAGTTAAACACTAAATCAGCGCAAATTCAACGTTATTTTACCGTGTGACGAATTCGCTAGGGAATACATTTTTCCAGTATGTTTCAATAGGTTTATTAATCTAGACATTTTTTAAATATAGCACGCTTCTCATTTCTTGAATATTTCATTATTACTAACTTGTTAAATTATATAAAAGGTTTATATTTTTTAGCAACAATTATGCAGTAGTTAGTTAAAATGTTTAAACAATACTTTTTAAATATTAAGTATTTTATCTACAATGCCTACCTCAATAAAATTTATTAAAAAAAGGTCCATCTCTAGCCAGTACATTTTTGGCATATATTCTATTAGCTGTTCTTAATCATATTTGGAAGTTTTTTCGCATTTTTTTTGGACTATAATTTCTTGAACAATAATTGTAGGAAAAAATTTGGATTTGTTCGATATGCAAAAGCTAGACAAGTCATTATTAATTTTAAAGTATCTAGTAATGGTTTACAAATAAACATTTAATGTCCAAAATTTGATAAATATTTCAAATTCAAACAAATATTAAATATTAAGTGTTATCAAACCCAGCAAACAAAAATTGTGCTAGAATTGGCCAAAGATTGAGCAACTATATTAAACGTAATTAATTAACTCGTTTCGATATTTTCATATGTCCAGACCACTTAACTTATAAATTTATACAAATGTGAAAAAGATTTGTATCCAAAAAACAGCTTAATTAACGAACACGAAAAGTACATTTTTGTCAATCAATTTAACTGTGAAGTAACAAACATCAAAACATTTACATTTATAAAAAAGGGTGTCCCAAAAAAACTACTATTTTTTTTTAGTCTCCTATGAAAATATGTTAGTTTATCATGTTTTAAGAGCTCTCCCAAAAAAAGAGCTCGGTTAAAAATTGTTTAGGGTCTCTCACGAATTTTGAAAATTCCAAAAATAGTCAAGATTAGAAGTTTTGTTTTATTGTTCGCTAGGGTTCATTTTTGTAAAAAAGTATTAATTAAGGTTACATTTATGCAATATTAGTGGCGGCTGGTGGATTTTGGGCACACCCATATCTCAGTTATTAGACATGGGACCCACATCAAATTTATATGTGTTTATAATGACATTATATAGACAAGTTCTGCGAACGCAGAATATAAATTAAGGTTTGCGAAAAAAAGTTAGTTTTTAAGCGTGCCCCCCAGCCTCCTGGCCCCCAAAATTAAGATAATTCAAATTAAATTGGTACAATATTTAATTCACTGAAGTTTATCGACAAATTTCAAATTGTATTAAAAAAAATTCAAGTATTACAGGTTTTATACCATTTTAAATTTTTATTATTTCTTTTACTAAATTAAAAAAAAATAGAAATGGTATAAAATGGTATAAAATCTGTAATACTTGGACTATTTAAATAAATTTTTAAATTTTTAGATAAACTGTAGAGAATTATAAATTGCACCACTTTAATTTGAATTATCTTAAATTGGGGGGCAGGAAGCTGGGGGGCACACTTAAAAACTAACTTTTTTTGCAAACTTCAATTTAAATTTTGCCTGCGCAGAACTTGTCTATATAATGTCATTATAAACTCATAAAAATTTGATGTGGGTCCCATGTCTAATAACTGAGATATGGGTATGTCCAAAATCCACCATATTATATTATATCAAATTAACCCACTTAAAATAAATTAGTCAAAAATAACTAATTGTCAAAAAAATCAATCGTTTTTTGGGCCACCCTAATGTATAAATTTATAACATAGATATATAATAGTGAATTTTTTTTAAAGAAAGCTGATATTGGAGTGGCATTTTTTCCAATTCTTCAAATAAAAACTTTTACGAACTTTGTAAAATATTCTCCGAGTCTAGACACTGGTGAATGGGTTGTACTTTTAAGAAGACCAGAAGAATCGGCTACGGGCTCCGGATTATTGGCGCCTTTTACCAAATGGGTGTGGATTTTAATTATTTTATCACTTTTAGTTGTTGGACCAATAATATATTTAATTATTTACTTAAGACATCGAATTTGCAAAGATGATACAAAAGTTTACTCGTTGTCTAATTGTATGTGGTTTGTGTATGGAGCATTGCTTAAACAAGGCACAACTTTAAGTCCTATGACAGGTCAGTTTAAAAATATTTATAAGTCTTTAGTATAATATTTATTATTAATTTTATAGATTCTTCTAGATTGCTGTTTTCGACTTGGTGGATATTTATTACAATTCTTACTGCTTTTTATACTGCAAATTTAACTGCTTTTTTAACACTTTCAAAATTTACTTTGCCTATCGAAGAGCCAGAAGATATAGGCAAAAATCATTACAAATGGATTACCAATAGAGGTAATGCAATTGAAGATCAAATATATCATGAGACTAGAATTGACGTTAAAGATTATATGGTTGAAAATGAAAAGTTAAAGAATATTTTGGGTATGTACGACTTAATTAAATCTACACAAAAATTTCACTATTCTAATTTTAGGCCCTCAAGCCTATTCCGAATCAAATGATCAAGCCGATAAAAAAATACTAAAAGACTATATTACAAGAGGAAGTGTAATGTTTATAAGAGAAAAACCCATTATTGATTACGTTATGTACGATGACTATAAGGAGAAAATGAAAGAAAATATAAAGGAAAATAAAAGATGCACTTTCGTTATAACAAAATTTCCAGTGGCGACTTTTGCTCGTGGTTTTGTTTATAATAAACAATTTCGTTATTCTCAGGTCTTTGATTCAGCGTAAGTATTTCTTTTTTATACAAAAATCAAATATTGTCTACCCATGTAAAATTGTTTTTTAAAAGGGTAATTTAACAAAAATCTTTAATTGTTGCAATGTAATTTTTTGGGTTCACACTTAAAATACTTCATAAATTTAAACAGCTCTGTCAACAATGTTTGGTCGCATATAAGGTTGCTGAAAAATTCAGATACTTTTGTTTTTTTGCATCGGTGGTTTCATCGAATTTGTCTTTTAATTTTAACCCTAAATACTGCTTTTATTTTTGTTGCACTTTAAATCGTTAAAGTAAACATGTAAGTTACACAGTGTAACTGTTGTAAAGTTGCATCAAGATCAACGGGCCAAAAATTCGAAATTAACAGTGAATATGTTCAAAATATTGCTTATAAGAAACTTTGTAGCTAAAAGATCGCTTACTGTGTCCATAAAGCAGACAGTTCTACAATATCTTTGTTTTTTTGCTGAAAAAATATTTGACAGAAGCCACATTCCAGTATAATTTGAGGGATTTGCTAAGCAAAAAACAATCTAGGATGCCATTTGAAAATTTAAACAAAAAATGAATATCAAAATTATTTCTTCTCTTGATTAGTATATCAATTAATAAAAGAAAGGTTTAGGACTTTTATTGCCTTAATAGTTTTAATCAGGCAATTCGGCTGGTGAGTACGTGTAGTCGTCTTCAGGTGAATACTCAATACAGCTACAAATCTATTTATATTCAACGTGGCGTATTGGATTATTCAGGTGTGATGAATATATGCTGGATTGGGTCAGCACCAGTTCCATCATTTGGGTCTTCTGGATGCTGGATTATAGTGGCATCAGTTCCATCAGTTGACCCTCCTAAGGTGATGATCTGGTGGTTGTTCTTTCGGAATCTTTGGCAGAACCGGGACCCTGCGGTCAAAGTTATAATAATGATGATCAGAGTTTTTGACGTGATGATACTGATTGATATGGAATGATGAATTGTTTTCCATAGTCTGAGAATGTTCCAAGTTCTGGGCTCCATGAAATAGGATTCTATAACTGGGATTAAATCTATTCTTCTTGGATGTTGGATTTTGTTTGTATGATGCAGTCCTGGGCAATTTGGTTTATACTCGTCTTGTTTAACGTGACTTTTTCTCTCACGCCATTGCAAGTTATCGCAATTTTGGAGGGTTTGCTTGTAACTGCCATACATGCATTGGTTGAATAGGGTTCTTTCCATATTGTTCCAATAAGGCTTCGCTAAATCAGTTTGCATTTGGTTGTCTCGAATCGTTGGTATACTTTATTAATTACACAATTAGATGATGTTTTTAACTGATGTTGGTGAACAGACATATTCGTTTGCTAAGGTCAATATGTAAGACTTGAACTCGTTTTGTAGTCGACGTTGAAAAATGTAACGGTGACGTCTAGTTCCCAATATGATGTGTTAAAGATTTTTACAGGAATTGGGGTCACTTTCATCAAGGTAAAGTTTGTGGTTCCCACCGGTAAAAAATGACTAAATACTTGGAAAGACTCGTTTGTCGAGTTGGTGAAATCAATTCTAGCAAGTTGCCTCTCCGGAAACGTACAGCAATTAGCTTGGAGTTGTGGTCCAGGACTTCTATTAAAAACCCGTTGGCTACTTCATATAATGTCAGGATGTGAATGTTCAGCTTGTTAGTGTCAATAATTTTAAACCAGCCTTTTATGTCGTTCATTGCTGATAAGGCTTGATTTTCTTTTGAACAATTCCAATCTGTTTTGTATTCTTGCTTCTTTTTCGTTAAATGTGGCTAAGGCTGACAGCATACATTTTGTTTTGTGAGGTTCAGCTTTAAGTAGTTCATCTTGGTTCTGTCGCTTTATTCGTATACTTCATCATTGACGTCAAATACTGAAGTAAGCAGTTTTCCCAAAATGCCTCTTTTTGTCTTATATGTGTTTCTGGCATACATTTTCGAAAGTTTTATAAACATTTTGTGTCGGTTATAGTCTTACTGAAAATGCCCTTTTTAATTCGCGAGTGGTCAAGATGTTTTATGTAGAGACCAGGTTTCATATTTTTCACTGTAAAATTTGCTTATGCAGAAGGGCACAACATTATACAAAGCATCAGGGTTACTACTGTTGTAACTTTGGAAATGCTGGATTTTCGTTAAGTTGACTGTCTCACTTTGTCTTCTGGCTCTTTGGTGTTTGGTAATGGAATTAATTGAGAAATATTTTTTTTCATCAGGTGGCTATCTAATTTCTTAACTCTGACATCGCCAGATTTGTCAGGAAAGATTTCGGTCACTATTGCTAGCGGCCATCTGCAGGGATTCACCTGGTTGTCCTTGATAATGACAACATCTCCAATGCTGATATTATTCTTTTTGTTCTGCCATTTGTATCGTTGTTGTAAATTGTTTAAATAGTCGCTTGACCATGCGTTCCAGAAATCCCTCTTCATTTTCTGGATTGATTTCCATCGCATCGTTAAACTTGTGGAGAAATCATTTGTTGCTGGATGATTGGAGGATATTATCTAACGTTCAATTAGGAAATGGCCTGGGGGAAGAATTTCTATGTTACTAATCCCAGGAAACAGACGTTGAGTGACGTGACGTCTTTTGAACGTCGATTATTGGTCAATGACCAATATTCGCCGTTCCAAAAACGTCACTCGACGTCTGTTTGTTTGCTGGGATGGGATTATTTAGGCACGGTGGTCTTGTATTGAGGCATGCGTGCCATGTTCCTTGAATGCGAGTGTTGAATCTCCAATAATGCGTTTTAGGTGAAACTTCATTGACTTAGTCCACCCAAATGTGGTAATGCTGGTGGTATAAAGTGCCACTCAGTCCCACGTGTAGTCATTGCATTTTGAAAATCGTTTTCTTGCACATGTTCTTACTGAAGATATTGCTGGTACCCACAAAGTTGGTTCCATTGTCGCTGTACATGTGTGCAACTTTTCCACGTCTTGAAGAGAATCTTCGAAATGCGGCCAGGAAAGCTTTAGTTGTCATATCACTAACGACTTCCAGATGTATTGCCTTTGTAGCTAGGCATATGAATACAACGATGATACCTTTGTAGGATTTGAATCCGTGGCCTTTGCTGGGTCGAACAGATATTGGACCAGCATAATCTACTCCATTATCTGAGAAAGGTGTGATTCTTGGACCCGGCAGATCGTTCATCAGTTGTTTTGCTATTTGTGCTTTATGTCGAATGCAAATTGGACATTTGTGGATCAGAAAACGTATTTTGTTCTTTCCATTTATGATCCAGTACTTTTAACGTGATAACACCAATGTGTTTTCTCCGTGTAGGGTTTTTTCGTGTGCATCTCTTATAATTAGTGTGGTGAGATGACTGATGATGGGATGATTTTTGCTCGAATGGAAGTAAACAATTTCTTAGTCGTCTCTAATAATACCATTTCCATCCAAAAATGGACTTAATTTGGCAATACGGCATTGATGGGCGTTCCGGGTCACTCTTTTGAACCGGATCACTAGATCTGGATCACATAAGTGAACCGGTTCAACGAACCGGTTCAAAAGAACCGTTTGAATCTCAGACTAATTAAAAATAACACTTAATGAAATCATTCGGAGCACATAAACTTTAAGTTTATGTTAACAATGTTTATCACTTTAATACTTAAGAGCCTTTATTAAATTATAAGGCAATACAAATTGTTATTTTAATAATATTATAAAGGCTATTAAATATTACATTGTATTTTATTAAAGTTTTGTTATACCATACAATTTATTTTATTAAAATTTTATAAAACAATAAAAACTCTATTATTTTAATATTTTACATGAAAAGTTATATTTAAAACATAAATGTTGTAAGTTTACACAATTTAAATTAATTAATATTAAAAATATATTTTAAACGACATTGTCATAAGGGAAATCATCTCATATTTCTGTGGGTTTGTAAAAAATTACCAAAAGTATAAATTTGCCTAACGTAGTAACGCGCCACAGAACGCAAGAAGTTCGGTTCCGAACGATGCGACCGGCATAGGCACTAGCGAGTTGCATGATACAACAGTCATGATCGAGCCGCGCCTAGAGAATCGAGATGTTTTGGTCAGATCTGGATCACAGAAAACAAAACGTACTGCGAGCGTGAGTCGTTCTTAGCTCCAGGGAGCCGGTTCAGATCTCTCGCGACCCACCGCTCACGGATCGAGCGGCTCGCCATGCGCGGCCTGTTCAATGCACTGCAGCAGCATAGCGAGTCACTCGCTGCTGAAGTGGTGAAGCAGTGAATCGGAGCTTAGAACGGCTTGCGCGCGGCCGCTTTGTAATTTCGGACCCGTGAGCCGGTTCGTTTAATTTTCGTGAACCGGTTCACGTAGATCACTTATAAGACCCGGTTCACTGAGCCGGTTCAGATCTGACCTACACATCTCTAGATACGGCTGCTTTTGTTGTCTTGTTTTTAAGGGCTCGTAGATCATATGTCATTGCTTTTTTGTACCATTTTAATAGTTTGATTTATTGTTGTTTTCATTTCTTTGGTTTCTGGGTGTTCTGGATAAATCGGTGAGCATACGATAGAGTTCTGATCATCCGTGAGAGATGAAAAGCGATCTATTATGGCAGTATCAATTTCCTACTCTACGGTTACTTTTAGGCATGTCTTCTGCACTATTTGAGTTTCTGGAACATTTCTGGGCCTTTTTGTGCGGAATTTAGACAGCCTGGCCCATTCCTCCATAGTTCTGAATCCTTGATTTTTGCCGGTTCTATTGTAACAAAGGTCTTTCATCTTGTTGGATCGCCTTTTATCCAAGCGAGTGCAATCATGCAGTCTGTCCAGGCAAATTATCTTATTTCAGTGATGCCTAGAGCAGCTACCGTTTATTTTACTAGTTAGGCTAGTAATACTGCAGCAATTAATTCTAGCCGTGGCATTGACTGTTTGCTTCTTGCAGGTGCTATTTTTGATTTCGCGACTAGGAGAGTCACCTGACTTTTCCAAAATTTGTTAGTTGTTTTTGTAT